GTTGTGGTGCCGCAGATTCCTGGTTATGTGGGTCCCAAATTCATGAACAGTTTGCCTGCGATCCACTTTACACAAAATGGGTGAATGCGGCAAAGTGTTGCTTAAAAAGAATATTTTCAGAGGGCACAAACAACTGAGGCACATGCCTAAAGAATGCTCTACTCTGACTAAACTAATGGCATCACATAACTCTGTAGGTGGCTCAAAAATTAAGTGCGGAAGCAACTTATCAATGCAGGATTTGTTGAGGTCAAGCCGGTATCATTGCAGTATTTCTAATTAGAAGGGAATCATTCTATCCCTCTACATTGCACCTCGTGGGCTGTTGTTGCACCCATGGTTAGTCGATTTACGGAACAACTGAATTTGTTCTACTTACACATTTAGGGCATTTTAGCCATTTTAACAGAATGATTCCATTGGTCATGTTTTAGCCATTCATAAATTTATGCTGACATTTCGCGTTTATTGTAAATACCTTTGCTATATGCTAAAAGGGAGGCCGTTTAAGTGCCAACATTATGAACAGACATTTTGCGTAGCAGCACTTTGAACCGCCACGCTTTCAAGGTTCATGGGAGTGGGCTAGCTTTAGTGATAAGGACCTAATTTTTTGTATATTTTGATGGATTGTGTTTAGGTACCAGCAATGCAAAACACCTTCTCCCTTGTCAGAATTATGGCAAATTCTTCTCTCGTCGAGTCCTTTTAAAAGAACACATTCCTGTGCTTCATGAGAGTGAGTTAAGTAGTTTACAAATACTAAACTTGACTAGGTTCTAGAAATATCTTTCCTTGTATTTAAATGAATTTCGCTTTGTACTGCTTTTACATCACTTCTAGGAAGGAGGAGACTCACTTGCCCGCAATGCATTAAACATTTTTCCTATTCAAACCATTCAAACAGACACATTTCTTTGGTCCGTGAGAGTAAGTTAATTAATTTTATTATGGTAGACTTGATCAACATATAAGTACGCGTTTTCTGCTGCACTAAAACACTGCATTTTATTACGTTAACATAACCCTTAGAGGAGAGACCGTTCGCGTGCGAGAATCGTGGTGAATCCTTCATGCAGAAATGTAATTTAAACACGCACATTTCTGCGGCTCATGAAAGTGAGTGGAGTGATTTGTAACTACCTATCTCAATCTGCTTTCAGAAACTTATCTCTTATTGTTTAGTTGCAGTTCGCCTTGTATTACTTTACACTGCTTTTAGGAAGGAAGCCATTTACTTGCCAGAAGTGTGGTAAAGCCTTCACCCATCGAACGCGTTTAAACGCACACATTTCCGTGGTTCATGT